ACCCACCACTGCACCCTGTTAACTGGACATCATTGACTTCACGCAGACTCTCCGACTGGTACATTTTCATCTATAAATCACTTCTTGGTCTTTTGCCTTCATACATCTCCTCCTATATGTCTCTGCGTGACTGCAACTACAGCGTGCACTCTAAGGACATTATTACCTGCAGTGTTCCCTCATTGAGGACTGAACTAATCAAAGGACCTTCTAATCCACTCCTGTTTCCTGGAATATATTGCTAAAAGATCTGAGGTTGTCAACTTTGACCTCTCTAAGGGATTTTAAACATCTGCTAAGTTCATGGCAAAAACCAACGCAGACATGTTCCTGTTTTTAGTATTTCACTTTGGTTTATAATGTAGCTGTTTTTGATTCATTTTTATATAATTTCTTTTCACTTTACATTTTATATGCTTTTATATGATTGTCTATTGTCAAGTACAAGGTTCTTTATTGTCATTGCATCACATGTGGAACGAAATTGTGGTCACAGGGTCCCAGTTACATCCAACAAAAGTATAAAATGTAAAAGAAAAACGGTAATAAGATCAAAGATATGAACTAAGAACTATGCTAAACTAGGAATACGCGAAGCAGTAATAGTGCAAAAACAGTATGCCGAACAGCAGCACGAACATGAGTCTGTGTTAGCAGATGGGTGGGTATGAATGAATACAGCAGCATGACATAAATCAGCAGCACATATTAACAATCAAAGACTAGAATAGAAACAGCCTTTATTGTCCCACGGATGGGGAAATTCAAGTGTAACAGCAGCAATAGCAACAAAAGATAAAAAGATTTCACACAAAAGTTCCTAAATGTTAAAAACCATACATAGAGAAATAAGATAAACAATATCAATAAAGTGGCATTAACGTGATTTTTTTTTTTCACAGTGATAATTCTGATTAGGGATTCATGAGTCTAACAGCCTCAGGGTAGAAACTGTTCCTCAGTCTAGTGATTCTACACTCAATGCTCCTCAACCTCCTTCCTGAGGGGAGTGGGGCAAAAAGTGTGTGTGCTGGGTGAGTGGGGTCCTTCATGATGCAGGTGGCCCTCTTCCTGCATCTGGAGGTGTAAATGTCTGTGATGGTGGGGAGATCGACCCCAACAGTCTGTACCTCATATGTTTTCTTTGTTTAAAACTCTTGTAAATGAGTCCTTGAGGCTCAATGAGACATATAT